GGGCCCATACCAAATGTTTTCATTTTGTCCACTCATCACAACAAAAAAACGACGCAAACCCCAAAAAGGTGTTATATAAAATTTAACGTGTAAATTATGTAAGGGGATATATGGGGGGGAAACGATAGAACCCACACGATGGGAATTTTCGAGTTCGAAGACGTCCCCGGGTTTTTAAACCCTTTCCCGGATAAGGCTTTGGGGCCCCATTTTTCCCGGAGTTTCCGTAACATAAAAACCATTTTTTTCCCTTTCGATTTTTTTAGAAATTAACTTTTATACACCTTTAAAACGCAAAGTAAAGAATTTCCCTTAAAATTAATTTTTTTAAAACCTAGTATCAAAAACAAAAAAGGGAGGGGGCGAGAAGAAAGGTTTTCCCTTTTTAAAAAATTTTTTTCAAAAAAATAAAAAAAATTTTTTGGGGGGGGGGGGGGGGGGGGGCACACGACCCGGGCTTTTCCCGTGATTTAAAAAATTGGCGAGTGTAAAAGGTGAAAAACCAAATTTTTTTAAAAGAAATTGTATTTTTCCTTTTAAATGAAACCCGTTTTCCCGTGTGGGGAATTTTTAATTTGCTTTTAAAATTGTATGGTTTTTTTAATTTTTTACACTTTTTTAAAATTTTTTTTTGCCAAAGGTTGGGGGGGAAGCCAAAAATTTTTTTGCCCTTACCCAAACTTCCTTGTTTCCGGTCCTTGTCTTTTTAAACCGGTTTAAAAACCAAATTTCAGTATTTAAAGGTTGTTATTTCATTTTTATATCAAAAAATTACCTAGAAGCGTTTTTTTGATCTGAAAATTTTTTTGCCCCGGAAAAATTTTAAAAATTCATATTTTAATTGGCTCCCCCCTTTTTTCTATCCCCCGGGTCCCCCTTAAAAATTCATAAAAATTTTTAAAACAAAAAATATTTTTTATTTTTTTCCCCGGGTTTTGAGGGGGATGTTAAAATTCGAAATTAATTGATTTGGGTGAGGGGATTTGACCCCTCTTTGTCCTGAAAACCCCTTTGAAAATTTTTCTTAACTTTACTTAAATTTAATAAAGGCGCTTAAATTTAGGGAAAATTTTAAAAATTTAGCTGAAAACGTTTCAAAGAGTTTTGCGGGGGAAAAGGGGAGAAAAAATTTTGGGCCCTCAAACCAGATTACAGCCTTATACGCCAAAATACGCCCACATACCCCCACAAAACGGCCTTGATACGGCCCCCCCCCAATACGGTCTCAATTAAGGGACCCTAACAGCCAGGTTACGGCCCAAAGCCCTAAGCCTTGATGGGCCACCATCCGGCTCTTTTTGAAGGCTTCTTACACCCCACGATTAAAGCCACAAAACGTCCTGAAAAGGCCACAAACGGTCTTTATTTAAAAGGGGGGGGAACCTTTAAACGCCGGGATACGGCCAGGGTTACAGCCCTTAAAAACGCCCTTTGACGGCCACCATGGGCCTATTTTTTTGACCTTTTCCCGCCGGGGTTTACGGCCCCGAACGCCACAAAATCCTTAAACGCCCAAACCCGGTTTTTTGAACGGCTTTTACACCACAAACCCGGTCACAACACCCCCAAGGGCCCTTGTAAAGCCCCCAACCCGGCTCTATTGATTACCTTTTTTACACCCCATTTAAGGCCGTTCGGCCATCCAAACCCCTAAAATAAAACAGCCGGGAAAAGGCCCCGGGAACGCCCCAATATTTCCTTTGGAAAGGCCCACCAAGGGGGTTTTAAAAAAAGGCCCAATTACCGGGGATACGGCCCCGAACCCCCAAAACGCCGGGAAACGGGCCCAATGGGACCCAAGCCGGCCCAACCGCCACCGTACGTCCAAAACACCCGGGCCAACCCGGCCTTGTAAGCCCCATTAAAAAACGGCCTAGAACCCTTTTCGGGCCCTATAGGGGCCTTGATAGGGCCCCCCCAAAACGTCTCTAAAAATTTCCCTTTAAATACGGGCCACGATAAAAAGCCACATAGGGCCCTTAAAACGCCACCTTTGGGTTCTTTTTAAACCCGAAACTATACGGGCCCCCGATACGCTACTATAGGCCCTTAATACGGCCACCATACGGTTCTATTAAAGGGTTTTTTATCGCCACGAACGGTCACGTTTAAACCCGCAAGGGCCCTTGATCAGCCACCAAAAACGGCCCTCTATTGAATAAAAAAACCCCACGACCCCCCTTAAACGGCCCGATAGGCCCACCAAAACCGGCCCTTTTTAAAAGGTTCTCCCCCGGCCCTAGGGGGCCCCTTTGAAAAGGCCCCATCCGGTTTTAAATTAAACGGCTTTATACGGGCCCGGGTAGGGTTTCACGTTTACCCCCGCAAACCGGCCTTGATAAAAGCCCCATACGGCCCTTATTAAATTTCCCAAATTTTCCGGGGCCCCAAAGGGCCATTTAAAGGGCCCCGATACGGCCACCAAGGGTTTTTTTTAAAAACCGGGGCTTCTTTACAGCCACGATGGGGTCCCGAAAAACCAAAAACCCGGCCTTTGAACGGGCCACCAAAAACGGGTCAAAAACTGGAAATTTTCCCCTTTTCCAGCCCCAATAACCCTTAAAAACCCGGCCCCCCAAAACGGTTCAAAAAACGGTTTCAAAAACGGGGCCACGTACGGGCCGCTAAAAAGGGGCCCCTTGATCGCCACCAAACGGTCTCAATTAAAGGGCCCCCTTTGTAGTGTATCTTTGTTAAAGCAACTTATTATTTATTCTTAATTTATTTTGGCCTTCCCAGGGGGAGCTGAAACCCTATTTTTTGGGGGGCCCCTTTATGTGCTGTTGCTACAAATAAGCCTGAGTTTAAAGTTAAAAACCATTGTAAAGTAAAATACGCCCCCTCCAAACGGGAAGTGTATAACTTAGGGCACACAGAGGGGTGGTTTTGGATAAAATGAGTCAGTTCTTTTTAAGGGCTTTTTGGTGTTGTCATTTGTCCAAAACAGAGCCCAAAGGCCTTTTGCAAACTGCTCGGGTGACTCCCTGCCCGTGGGTTTTTTTGAACGGGGTTTTCCAGGAGGGGTTTCCGACGGGGAACTTACAATTTTGGGACGTTTTTTTCATCTTTTCCTTTTGATAAAGGTAAACGTTCCTTTAAATTTTTTTTTATTACTATTATTAATTTTTGAACTTTTCAAGTCTTTTTTTGACAAAAACCAAAGTTTACTAAAGCAAAGTTAAATTTCCCCCCCCCAAGTTCCCCTTGAGTGGTTTGGCCCAAAGGGGACGCCCCGGGGGGCTAAAAAAACCCGAACCCCGGGCAGTGTTTTTAAAAAGGGGCAACCTTCCCTTACACTCTATACAGCCACAATACGGCAACGATACAGCTACTATATGGCCTTGATACGGCCACCATTGACCATACGGTCTCTATTAAACGGCCTTTATACAGCCACGATACAGCCACATATAAGGCCTCGATACGGCCACCATACGGTCTCTATTAAATGACCTCTATACAGCCACGATACAGCTACTATATGGCCTCGGCCCTCGATACGGCCACCATACGGTCTCTATTAAACGGCCTCTATACAGAGGCCTCTATATTATATTAAATTTCCTTCAAATTAATCAACCAATTAAACAACTAATTAAGAACGAATACTGAGGGAAGATTGAGTTATCTGAACACTGTAAAATATTAATGCCCATTTGGTGTATGACTTTTTGTCCTTGACTGCTAGTTTGGTTTTGGAAGGACAGGTAACTAACGGGGCAAGGAATGCGCGTGCCTGAAAGCTTTTGCACACACCGAACGCTAGTTCAGTTAGGTTTTAGAGACAAGGCTCATATTAGGACTAGAAGAAATTTTTTAGTAGACATTAGGGGTTCTGTTTATAGTTGATACTATAGGTTGCAGTCTGTTTGTGACATAAAAGCCTACACTAAAACATGCTTTAGTTTATTTTGTGAAGTCAAGGACTATAAAATGTAGCTTCAAGGTGGATATTAAAGAGCTGGCGAAAGGATTATGGCCTTTGTATCAATGGTTATAATAAGCTATAAATATCTTAAACTATACAGTGCTAATTAAAAATTTCTTTATACTTCATTCTCAGATTAGATTTAGAAAATTCAAAAAATATACATTTATTTTATTAATACTTTCTCACACATTCTTTATTCACAGGACAAGACTTGGAAAACAGTAGCCTAGGGGAATTTAATTGAGATGTGTGTGACCAGCCAGTTATAATGTTTGGAAAATAATATTTGTGCAGTCAAAATCTTTTACGGTCCAATCAAGCAGGGCGTGGTTATGCTGATTGGCTAATAGCGCACGTTTAAGTTTTCCTCGCAAGCACATTACACTAGTAGTAAAGTCAGTCATTCTGAACTTTGGGGTTAAAATGTTAAAAATTTTGGTTGACCTAGTGTTGTGGTTGTCAGGTGGGTCTACCTGACAGATTAGAAGGCAGGGTTTCCTCGACGAACATGTGTAACCTTCATATAGGGATATTGGAGCACGGAATTTCATTATCTTGTAGAGCTCGAGGTAACTGTGGTATGTATAGAGATTTTGTATAGCTAGAATATTATTATGCTTGAATATCGGTTTGGTGTGTTCTTTTATGAAAAATTTTTGGTCAAGTTTCTGGTGTCCTATAGGCCTAGTACGTGCACAAGTCTTAAACTTATCAAGGTACGCCAGCCTATCACCAAATAGTACTCTGTGACAGTACTTCTGAGCAGTAAATATTGAGCTTATACGTTGCTTAGCTGCCCCACCCCATACAGATATACAGTAGGAAAGATGGGATTCAAACAAAGTATAGTATAGTTGTTGATGTAGAAATTCTGGAAGGGAGCAGCGAAGTCTACATAAAGTGGATGTGGAATGATTTAGAGTTCGCTTAAGAGCTTTAATGTGATCTTCCCATGATAGGTTCTCTTTAATTATAACACCCAGAAATTTTGCGGATGAAACCTTTTTGATTGGAAAGTTGTCTATAGTTAGTACAGCTTCAGGGTAAGCACAAACCTGATAATATAGCTGGTAGTATAGAGTCTTCACAGGATTGACTAAAGTTAGGAAGTAGTTTCTTGAATAAGTCGTTATGACCCTTTACTTCCGTTCACTGAAATCTGATAAACTCCACGTGAGTTTTCTAATCTTATAGTTTTAACTTTAAAATAGCGTGCTGGCTGTTGTATTATTAAATTTCCTTCAAATTAATCAACCAATTAAACAACTAATTAAGAACGAATACTGAGGGAAGATTGAGTTATCTGAACACTGTAAAATATTCACAAACCTGATAATATAGCTGGTAGTATAGAGTCTTCACAGGATTGACTAAAGTTAGGAAGTAGTTTCTTGAATAAGTCGTTATGATCTTCTACTTCTGTTCACTGAAATCTGATACACTCCACGTGAGTTTTCTAAACTTATAGTTTTAACTTTAAAATAGCGTGCTGGCTGGTGTATTATTAAATGATACTTCAAATTAATCAACCAATTAATTAACTAATTAAGAACCAATATGGAAGGAAAATTTAATTATGTGAACACTGTAAAACATTGACAAACCTGATAATATAGCTGGTAGTATAGAGTCTTCACAGGATTGACAAAAGTTAGGAAGTAGTTTCTTGAATAAGTCGTTATGACCCTTTACTTCCGTTCACTGAAATCTGATATACTTCACGTGAGTTTTCTAAACTTATAGTTATAACTTTAAAATAGCGTGCTGGCTGTTGTATTATTAAATGATACTTCAAATTAATCAACCAATTAATTAACTAATTAAGAACCAATATGGAAGGAAAATTAAGTTATGTGAACACTGTAAAACATTGACAAACCTGATAATATAGCTGGTAGTATAGAGTCTTCACAGGATTGACTAAAGTTAGGAAGTAGTTTCTTGAATAAGTCGTTATGATCTTCTACTTCTGTTCACCGAAATCTGATATACCCCACGTAAGTTTTCTAAACTTATAGTTTTAACTTTAAAATAGCGTGCTGGCTGTTGTATTATTAAATGATACTAATATATTAAATTTCCTTCAAATTAATCAACCAATTAATTAACTAATTAAGAACCAATATGGAAGGAAAATATAGTTATGTGAACACTGTAAAACATCCACAAATTTAGTTGTGTAAAACATCCACAAACCTGATAACCTTGGGCCGGGTAGGATAGAGCCTTCGCAAGATATAGCTCACAATAAGGATTTAGGAAATAGTCTTCTTCTCAGAATCGTATTTGAAATTTTTCTTTAATTCAGCCACTGAAAAAATACTGCTTTCAATAAACAACGGTACTCAAAAATTGAAGTAGGAACATATCACAAGTTATGATGGCTGTTATAGCTTCCCTTAGCTTTCCGTTTATTGTTTAGATATTATAATCCTAGCTTAAAATCAGCCTTGGTTTTACTTTCTGAATTATGTTGTTGATCGCTTATTACATATGTATTTCATGATAAAAACTACTATTATATACATTATACAAACTAGGCCAAAAATATATATGAGTTTTATAACTTGGCAACAACGTTTACGTTAATATAAAACTTCCATGTACCTGCCAAAACGTTATATAAATGTTTCGCCGACAAAGATGCGTCGATTAAAACAAGTTTACAAATCAATAATCAGGCCGGGTTCAGTGTAAGCTTATACGAAATCAAAAGGATTAAAGCTGAGTAACAACGAACTCTCCTCAACAAAATTATGGGTGTAGATTCTACAGCTACAACTGCGGAAGACCATGATCTAATGAGTCACGTGCAGTTCATGTGACCCGTTGGAGAGTGCTTTGGCTATTGAGTTACATATCACGAGGTTAGATAATGTGCCATTTCATTAGATCACTGCGGTCGCCGCGCGGTGTTATATTACTGAACAGTGCTCTCTCTTCAACATGTTGTCAAAGCCTGAAGGAAGTTATTATGGCCTGGTGGGGAGGGGACTATACTCAACTCACAATTTTGTTTTATCACGTCACTACAGTCATGTTGTAAAGATGAAGTTACAATTTACGGGGGAAGGGCCCTCTGTAGCTCTTCCTGATTGTGTCTTTTAATTACACCCTGAAGTTATCAGGATGGATCAGGGATGTATAATGTATATACATTACATTTATAACAAGTTTTCAGCAGATTATTTTCCAAAACAAAATTAGTTATGATGAGGATTCAACAGGACGTGTTGCAGTTTTTATTATATTTATTATATACAGTTTATTAAGCATCAACATGTACTTAACTTGAATAGCAAGCTAGTAGACGGCTGTGATATTTTCGGTGCAGATTTCACTACAACGATAGACGCAAACCCATACATAATACATAATATATACATATTATATACATATTATATATATATAATAATATGTACTTTCATGTTCGCAGCTCTGATGAGGGCCACTATAATACAAATTAATCACACCATGGTTTAGTGAGTGATTAAAAGTTTACTACCGGGGTCTTATCGTGGATTTAAATCTTACTATCGAGTTGCTTTAGTCATAAAGTTTGTTCTCCAACTTGCAGATGCCGGATTCTAACTTAAGTCAGTGTAACTGTTATGAACTATTAGTGAAACTCAAATTTAAAACTCAAATTTAAAGAATAAATAAATTTTCATATAACTGTTGCCATTCTGCCGTCGACACAAGCTAGTCCGACCTGGAATAGCATTTACATTCATGAATATTCAATATAGATTCTTAATTAACTACTTGTCTTCTTTAACTCTTTATTAATCAGTGTAGGCTGTGACTTGGGCTGAATTTGGTTTACGTGTTTGTGATAGTAAGGGGCCCGCTATGACAGCTAAGACACCTATTATTCACACACCCAATTCGACGGCCCCAACGTTAATGTGGCTCTTGCTATGTGTTGGTTCAGCCGAATTAATTATTATGTAATCAAGTTTATTTTTCTCTTTTAGTTAGTTGTCATCCGGCCAAACATTGGGCAACTTATATTGCAGTACCATTTATCAATAAGTATATCAAAATATGTCATTGTAATTTTGCATGGCTGAAATGTAACGCTTGATTTATATATATAATAATTAATTGAATTTTCAAATTAAAAAAAAATTGTAAATATAGTGAACTATCTATCCCTGTCCCAAACATGTGAACCAACTTCGGCCGAAGTTTAACATTGGCCGAATTTAGCTATTTCTTGGTTTATACAGTTCTCTGTTATAGAGGTGTAAATCTTTATATCTCTTTCAGAACGGAGGGAACTTGGGTCTGGACTCTGGGACCATTACTAAAACCTTATTACAACTTTACAACGGGTATCACGCAGTGAACACTGAACAGGATACGTGGGGTCACATGACGTAATGAGGTTGCCATGACGTCACTAGGTCTGCACGAAGTTTTCATGACGTAACCTAACTTTACAATTACAGCGGAAGCTGCAGATAATATTATAAATTTGAATTGGGGAGTCACTTCCATGATGCTTGGAAATTCACATTATTATGGCATGGTGTTTATTAGGCTATGTATTAACAAGTGAAAGGCTTAACTGAGGTCCACAAACTTTAGATTGTGCATTGGCGACTTATACAAGTATTACTGGCCAAACTATCATCTTTCCCTCACTTTTCTCCTCAAATTATTTGTTATCTAGTAGTGTTGAAAGTATTAACGTCTTACAATAATCTATATAGTGAAATTTACTTCACCCGTCATCTTCGTGAAGTCTTTCACATTGAAGTGATCGTGACGTCATTTATTTTGGATGTGACACTGTGTCCGCTTTAATAGTAAAAGCTGGGTTAAAAAAGAGTGTAAATGAATTTTTGGCTACAATTTAACGTTAAAAGTGTTGTATTTTAGATAGATGACGTTGCGTTCTTGAAATTGAATTGTGATATTATTGACTTATTGAGATGATACCTTTACTCAATCTATAAATGATATTTATGGTTATTTTGTGATTTTGTAAGATACTGATTTGTGTGCACAGGGTTTCCTTGTTTGTTTGTTTGGGGACCGGTTTTTGGTACACCGGCCAATGTTTACAAAATCATATGAAGCATAACAATATAATTTTATTTGATATATTATATAAGTGAAAATGAGAGCTGAAAATTATGACGTAACCTTTATCGTTTATTTTTTATAAAAAAACCAAAAAATTTAAAATTAAAACTTGCATATCATGATTTATTTATCAAAAACATAGTGAAAAATAATTTGATTTGATACGAAAAATAATCACACGCACTGTTTTATAAGCTACCTGTGTTGGTAATTAACAATTAGTGAGCAGGGCAGAGTCGATAGTATAGTGATCTGTATAGTGCTCTGTTTGAACCGTTTTTAAAATAAAGAAAAGTAAATGAGCTCATGTCTTATCAGCACCTGCAGGCGCTATCATGACAGTGAATGGGCAGTGAAAAATGTGGCATATGGTTGATAGTGACTACTACTAGTACTACTACTACTAGTGTGCTAATCGTCTAGTTTTACTTATTCCTCAGGTAATTCTCGGTAGTTGATATGTTGTGTGACTGATTTTGTTGATTTACGTAGCCCGGGTAAATTATGTAACAGAAAAAGTGGCCATTCTTCATTAACAATAATTGTTTCCTGAGCTTTGTAGTTCTATCATAACACCAGTGGCGTAACGAAGGGGCCCGCCGACCCCGCTGTGGGTCGGGCAAGTTATATGCGACTAATGCAGTTGTGCTCGGTAATAGCTAATATAGTAATATAGGACCTTTATAGAAAATATTAGCGCGTAGATCCGGTTGAGAGTACGTTGTTAGCCAGTTGATATTATCGTCATAAGACGTGCCATATTTTGGTATATCGCGGAAGGGAATAATACTTTTATCGACGACGGCAGAAGGCCAGGCATGTAAGTTATCTTGTGCATCAGAGTCAGAGCATTTTTTATGATGATATAGTGTATATCTGGCTGTCACTCTTGAAGTGGGTCTCATTATCAGAGTGAGTAGGGACCGTCAGGGTAGTATGTTAGGAGGCAGGAGCAGGCATCAGTGTTGAAATGTGGTACTTTGGATTTCAATCTGTCCATAACGGACGTATGAATCATGATGGTGCAGTCGGGGTAGTCCGCCGGCTCGTGGTGAGTATTTCCGTAGCTATACCCCCGCTTGCCAAAGTATACCACCGTACTGCCATGTCTGCTGGGCTCTATTATCGGAATTTTCTGGAAAATTAATTAATTAATTTCTTGAACAAAAGAACATACCGATCCAGGGAGGAAGCTGTGTAAGTGGTTCTCACTGTGCTTACTGGCCCGTTACAGTGTACCCTGAGGATGGCATAGTCCCTGGCAACACCCCTTCCGATTGCAAAATTGGTGACACAGTTTTTATAGATGGAAGTACTTATTACGGTGCTGTTATCATCGGTTGGACACATTCTCAGGAGTATGGAGAACACCCCAGCCCAAACGGCTCTGCAATTGAATTGGAAGATTGAATTCTAGAAAATCTTTTTAAATAATCTTCTACGACGAATCACACATTAGGTCACTTCACAGCAAAAATGATATATCCAAAAAAAAGCTAATCTGTATCTCGTTTACTTTAAAAGATGCAGCTATGGTCGCATACGACCCACTCGTCCGGGTCGCAAACGACCCATCACGTTTTTTCGGCTATTATCTAGCGCCTCTGTCAAACCCGTAACAGTACACGATATCCTTGCAATCGTGCCTGTTAGCTGCTCTTTGTTCACAGCATTTACCTCTGAAATTAATATTTAGTTAGAATAACTTATGAACATTGAAACTGAGAACGTAGAATGAATGATAAACGTGCAATTTTAGATTATTGTCATTTATTATCATCTTTTTTATAAGAATGCTTTTTTCTTTACATTGATTGAACGTAAAAATCAAATCATATTGTATTTTAGTTTTGCTTCAACCAACATACCAATTTGAATTTTGCCTTACAGTCTATAGGAAACGAAAATTTAAACAATATATTGTTTATTCAAGAATTTATTCGCAAATTATAATACTTTTACATCTATAAATGTCAAATCTTCACAGGGAAAACTACAAAAAACAAAACTTCAGACTGTTCAGGTAACAGAAAAAAAACGGGAAAAAAAACTGTGGTCAGAATAAAGTTAACACAAAACAAAAAAATGAAATAATAGTAAATATTTTACCAAAACCCATAATCATGGGTAGAGTGGACCGCTGTCAGTGTCTCTCTTTCCGAAACAAAAGGAAATGATATTAATTTGATTGACCGTTCTCAAATGCAAAATGATACCGAGAATGAAATCGGTCGCTCGCTTTTCCCATTCATTCACGGCTTACGAATTGTATAAATAAGTTTCGATTGATTACATCAATCAGATGCTGTAAAAATCTCTTTGGGTTGCGTTCGGGTCGATACCTAGTATTTCGGGGTAAGGGACAAGGGTGGTAGTTATCACCTATTGAACAAGCTGAAGTTTATTGAATCTTCATTGCCGAGTACAGCTGCCTTTGGATAGTTCTTCTTAATCTATTACAATTGTAAATGAATGGGAAAAGCGAGCGACCGATTTCATTCTCGGTATCATTTTGCATTTGAGAACGGTCAATCAAATTAATATCATTTCCTTTTGTTTCGGAAAGAGAGACACTGACAGCGGTCCACTCTACCCATGATTATGGGTTTTGGTAAAATATCATCTCTTTTTGGTTATAATGTCAGGGTACTTTATA